TAATAATGTGTTAAAAGTAAGCATTATATCTAGGGTTACAAATAAAGTTTTAAATAATTTAAGTAAATTCTTGTGGAGGACATTACATTGTCCTCCACAACCCCTCTGAAGGACTGTTCCCAAACGGACCGATTGGAGGAGAATCCTCCAGAGTGGAGGAGGTTTGGCAACGCTACATAAGACCCAAGTGTTTAAGTTTAGTGTGCCTAATAAGACCCCGATTAGTCGCATATTTGTAGCCACAATCTTCACGATTGCAAACGTATGGCTTTTCACCCGTATGAGTGCGCTTATGGTCAGTTAAGTGTGATTTCTGGGTAAACCCCTTGCCACAATTGTTGTAATCACATACAAATGGCTTTATTGCATACAAATGCGCGTATTGTTTGTGTAAAACATAGTTATCACTTCTATTGAACTTTTTGCCGCAATTATTGTAATCACAAACAAATTGCTTTTCATGAAAATGTAGACATTTTTTGTGTCGATAAAGGTTTGTGTATTGCGTAAAAGATTTACCGCAATTGTCATAACCACAAACAAATTGCATTTTGCATAAATCTGTGCTTTGATTTGATACTAGGTCTGATTTTTGGATGCAATTCAGTTCATTAGACGTCACTCTCTTATCATGATCTGTGGTCTGTTTGCATGGATCTGAGTGCCAGTCATCGTATACCTCGGTGTCTGAACTGTCGCTGTGATTGTCATTACTATTGCCATCAGTTTCGCAATAATTTATTGTCGACTTTCTGTCCATACCTTTTAACCGCAGATATGATACTGGAGGTTGTGGTCAAGTCATGGCTTTCCACAAAAACATCTATTGCCTCGATATCGTCAACTGCAATGTGTCTATGAGTTGATTCACTAGTATCTTTATCCCTGGTAAATAATAATATTATATGAATTAATTTATTTCAATCAAACATAAATAAAAATTAAAAATTAAAATAAATAACTTATTATATTTAAGTTTTTAGTTTTCTATTGAAGTTTTTTTGCAAAATCTATTGTAACACATTATAAAAATAGTTTTTCACGCAATTGGTTGAAAGATTAGTTTGATTATGATTTTGTATAAAACTCACCGATATATAGATTTGCAGTGTTTCTCAACACTGCCTGAACTACAGGTGTCCACCACTTGTCGACCCCTTTTCCACTTGATTTCAATGCTCTCTTCATCGGTAAACACATTACTATTAACTCGTGTCTCGTCTCTGAGTAACACTCCATCCAAATAGAGGTCAATGTCTTCGGCACTCAATATAAAGTCATTTGTGTCCAAAACAGTGGACTTCAGATTGGATACAGTGTTCACATCAGCGCTCACTTCCAGCCAATAGTCCTCCACTTCTGGTCTCAATGTCTTCAATGATATTATCAAACATTTTATTGAAGACATATTCAATGAAAAGCTTTGTTTTCTAACTCTTCAACGATTTCTTAGCGAAATGTTTTCATTAAACAGTAATCAGTATCCAAGCAACACATGAATATTGATTAAAGTTATTGTTTTGTGTTATATTTGAAACAGGTTAATTGTTATTTAATATTGTTTCAATTTATGTTTACTAGTTAAGTCCACAAATAATTAACTTTTATCATTTTTAATATTCCTTTAATATTGCTTACTAGCAAGTATTATTTTAATGTAAGCAAGTTCATTATTACTCTCATCGGCTAACTTGAGTTAAAAAATAATTAAAAGTTGCATGCATAATATTGTATATGCATTTAAATGACTTAATCTGTTAATGAACACAATTTACGTGATATATGTTAGCCCACATTTAGTGGCAAACCATTTGTCACAACAACTATAATAGCACTCAAACTTCTTAACATAACTGTCCTTTTTTCATTGACCACTGGGTTTTTGTTTTGTTAAATTTATATGTATTTTTTGGTGTTTAATGAGACTTCGTAGGAATTTATAAGTTTTGTTACAGTTTGTATAATTACATACAAATGACTTTTCACTGTCAAAAGTTTTCAGTCATATGTGCGACTTTATGGTTATCAAGATATTGTTTAAGAC